CCCATTTGGCTTATTCATCACTGTAACCCCCCTAAATACAGTTTAAAGCACAATGCCAAAAGTTTTTATCTGTACTATTTTCATTCTCTTTCAGAACTACACATTTTGACATTTCCACTGCAATTTTTTTTTCTTTTAGCTCATGAGCTATTTAGGAGTTTAATTTTAGTCTCCAAACATAGGGATATTGAGGTATTTTTAATTTTCTTTATAGAGTTGTCTCATAATGAAATTTCATTGTAAAGAATATAGCCTGTATGATAAAGGTTCACTGAAATTTGTTAGGATTTGTGATTTATGTGCCGTCAGTTTCCATGATTATTCTAATGTGTACTAAAAGAACAGAAATTCTCCACTATTTGTAAGGCTGGTTTTATATGTTTTTAAATATATTAGACCAAGGTCACTAATTTTGTGGTTAAAATCTTCCATATTCTTACTAATGCTTTGCTTCCGTGGTCTACCAGGCTCTAAAAGTGGTATGTTAAAATTTCCTACTATGACTGAGGATTTGTCAAATTTGTTTTCAAGTCTTTGTATTATTGATTTAAAGCTTATATTTTATATTACTGATTTAAAGCTTATTCTTTTACAGATACTATGTCGTATTTTATAATCTTACCATTGATATGTCTTAAAGTACAGGATTGCTATAGTAGCTTTCTATAGAAAGGATTGTCTGAAATATTTATTTCCCTTTCCTTGCTTTGAAAATTTCTATGTGGTTTTTATTTCAGGTCTAACTGCTCTAAGAAGAGTACTTCTAGATTTAAAAAAAAATGCCCAATGTGATAATTTCTTTTAATAGATTGATATAATCAAATTACATGTATTATAATTACTTTTTATAGTAAGTCTTATATTTTTGTCATATTTTCTCTTTGCTCCTTTATTTCCCATCCCCTGCCTTCTCTGGGGTTAAAAAAATTCTTATGTAATCACTTTTAATATCCCTTCTATTGCTTTGGGTAACTTAAAATTGCATTTTTAGTTCTAATTTTAAGTTGTGAATTTTTAAAATGCAATTCCTACTTCTACATTTCCCAACAAGGACAAAAGCTACTACTCATTTCTTCTTTTCTCCTTCCTCCTAAATAGGACAGTATTTGAAAACTTTTATTACCTATGCCTCCATCTTATTCTATGTAACTTTTTAATTGTTGGCTGAATTGAGTTAAAATCAGGCTCATTTAGAAATAAGCAATAGATGAAGTTACTGACTCACTTTACCTGTTTCTATGTTTACTGCTGTTTCTTGCACCCTTCTTCTGTGTTTACTCTTCTGGCTGAAACATATAGTAAGAGGTGGAGCTGGGATTCAAAAGGATGTACATTTCCCTGCTAAGTCCCTGCTCTAGATCTATGACCTACTAGTCATAGACAGAGTGAAAGGTATTCTGGGTGTATGGGTGGGGGAAGTAGAGGTAAGATGGAGCGGAGAGGAAGAGGGAAGTGGATAATGGCTTGAAAGAAAGTGCGATGACTATAAGACACAGGCTAGTTTTGAAACTATCTGCTGGAGCACAGGATTCCTATGCCAGAAAAGCGAAACAGTAAATTCATGAGACATGAATACAGTATGTATCATAAGATATAAATAAACATGAAGAATTAGAGGTAGTAAGTCAAGGCATGGGACAGAAAGGGGTAGCGACACCCTTTCGAGGCCTGTGTAAGGATGGTGAAGTAGATACAAAGCCTGACACATAGTAAGTGCTCAAGAAAATTTATAAACTAAAGGAAATTAAAGCAAGGAAGAAAATAAGGATGGAAACAGAAAAAGGTGAAGAAAGTGAAGAAAATAAGTGAATGAGGAAAGACAAAGTAATAAGAAAGTAGGAAGAAAACCAAAGGAAAAAAAAATTTTAAAAGGGCAGAAGAAAGTAAATACAAGGAAAGATATCATTTTGCTTATTTGTGTTTATGTATTTGTATATTTTTAATAGGCAAAAGAAAAAAGACAAAGATTCATATCATACAGTTAGCAATGTTTACTTGGGTAAGGGCAACTTCCATTTTTTTCTTTTATGCTCATCAGCAATACTTAGTTTTTTTCTAGTATGTACTGGTTTAAAATTTAAAAACAGGTATATAGAGACAACTGTTTTTAAATACCGATATATTTTTAAATATAGACATGTACATATCTAAAAATCAAGACTTGACAATAACAAAAAAGACATGAACATAGAGTCATAAACAAGTAGCTTCTGTGGCTTGCAAAGTCCACTCAAGTGTGTGACCCTCTTCATGGAGCAGCTTCTGTGACTCCCAGGCCACCTCCAAGGGCAGAGGACCACCTCGAGTGAACTGAAGAGCTAGTCTCTTCAGTTCCCATAAAGAGTTTCAGTTCTTCTATAGCCACCTGCCAAATCCCAGGTAGCCCTGGACCTTCTTAGCCTTGTATTCCCCCAGGATGCCTGATTCCCTTTATTTTACCTCATTTTTTATATTTTTGGTATCGGGGACTGAACTCAGGGTCACTAGACCACTGAGTCCACATTCCTAGCCCTATTTTGTATTTTACTAAGAGATAGGGTCTCACCGAGTTGCCTGGTACCTCGCTTTTGCTGAGGCTGGCTTTGAACTCGCGATCCTCCTGCCACAGCCTCCCTAGGCACTGGGATTACAGGCGAGTGCCACCACACCTGGCCTGACTCCCTTTAGTTAAGGTCCAGTCCTTTGTCCATACGTGGGTCTTTCCCCATCAGCCTCAAAAAATCAACCCTATCCTAATAGTATACACCAAGTATCCAAACACCTACCATGTCAAAATAAATAAATAAACAAACAAACAAACCAAAGAAAGAAAGTTGTTTTCATCCTTCACAGACAGTAGCTTGTAAGACTAGAGAAAATGTTTCCCTACTTTTCTTTTTGTTTGCCTTTGTGGCCACCTTGGATTTTTCTCACTTCCCTACGATAGACAGAACTTCAACACTGTCCTGAAGGAAATGATGACAGGTAGGTCAGCTGCTCTTTTATAACCTAGAAACATTCTATGTAAACTTTGTTTTATGTATGTAAGAAAACCTACATTATATCCATAAAATGAATAAACTCTTATCTGGAGCTTGGGTTATGAATCTGTATAACTGAAGAGATATGGATTAAAATGTGATAAACAAAAAGTTTCACAACCTCAGCCCTACTGACATTTTCAGTCAGATAATTCTTTGTTTATTATAGCTGCATCCCTGGCCTCTATCCACTAGATGTTTATAACGCAGGTGCAAGCACACACAAACATACCCTAGTTGGAACTATCAAAAATGTCTCCAAACATTGTCAAATGTATCCTGGGAGCCAAATCTTCCCTGGGTAAGGGCTACAGCTTGCAAAATGGGTCATTTTATCTCTCTACCAATGGAAATATGTATTTTTCATGCATACAGGTTTTTTAAGTTTTAGAATGTATTAATATCATCTCTTGTAATGAAAAGAATTTTGTTTGCAATGCCAGTGGCAAAGTAGAGAAAAGCTATGTGACAAGCAAAATCATATTCTGAAATAGGTAACATAAAGAACACTAAAAACACAGATACATTCAGCAAAGATAAAAATATAAACATAGTATATGCATGCATTGACCCTTAAATTATGAATATTTTCCCTATTTTTAAAATAACTTCAGATAACCCTCAGCAGAGTTTGGAACTGAAACTATCCAAAAATTTTACTCCAAACTAGTTATACATTTGGGAAAAAATATTTACCATACTATATATTTGGATACAATATCACCATAATAACTTTATAATTCAGTACCATTGTTTAAGAAAAAATGCTGGCAGGCTGCCTGTACTAACAATATTAAAATGTTGAATATATGTGTTTCTGTGAAGGTTAACAGACAATTTCCATTGTATCCAAAAAAGGAATGAGAAAAACTGGTGAAGTTAGAACCTACTATCATAACAATGTTAATACCGGATACCAGATCCCTATTACCTTGACATTTACTTGGTAATGTGAATGATAATTATTCAGGAGGAAAATAAAGCTAAAATATATTTTGAGGCTTTGTAACCATTCTGATTAGATTTGCATTTGTGCCCACCTGCTGGAAATTACTTCAAATTTAAGTTACTCAAACAAAATTCTTTTTCATGTACATATAATAGTTTCATTGAAAAAAAGCTATAGCTGCATTTTACTTTTTATTCCATTTTAGATATATATGACTGGACTGAATATATTTAAGTGTAATTGAATAACCAAAGGATAAAAACATTCTTTTCTACCTCAGATAGTTCAATCTGTCATTGCAATAAAAAAAATGAATTCACAATTAAAAAAAATAGGTTAATGGAATAGAAATTTGTCTTCCTGCTTTCTGCTGCCCTCTCTCCTCCAGCCCACTGTGCCAGAAGACATTTCAAGTGCAATTCCCCTGAAAGCTGTAGATTTAATAGGCTAATGGGTGGTTACTACTCTTGTTACCAGGATGATTCTATTCCACCTCTATCTAGAAAAATCTTTTTGTTGGTGCTTCTACACAATTACCTGCCATTAAAGTGTATGTGTTGTGGTGGTGGCGGGGGGGGGGGGAATCCAGTGACACACAGTCACTAGAAGAACAAGCTGGACTGATTTCTGTAACAATTTCCCAAGTATTCCTTCCCATTTTCAGAATTAAAAATCAGACAAAAATGCTTCTCTATAGTTTTGATGAAAAAATGAGCAATAAATTGTGAAATGCTAAGCCAAATGAACTCATTACTGTGTTACAAAATAATTTAACACACACCAATATATTAGCTGTGCAATCAAAAATATAGTGATATCACAATATATACAAACCCAATTGGCTTATGCTAATAAGTAATAAAACATAAAAGATGCCAAAGCATTGGGGTCTTTGAAGAAAAGCCAAATACCTTCACCACTCCCCAGAAATACCATTTCCTCAACCCTTCTGACACACACACACACACACACATATATATATATGTATGTATATATATATATATATATATATATATATATATATATATATATAAATTCCCTAAGCACAAAGAAATCCAGAATTTATTTTTATTCTTTTATGAAGTTAGTTAAAAATTAATGAACAAGAAATTAAAGTGAAGGTGCTGTAATAAAGTTAGAATATTCTAACTGGAAAACAATTACAATGAAACTATTTACACTCCCATGGAATTATAGACATTTTTCAAGGGATATTTTGCAATACAATTTTTTAAACAATGTTTTCTTCTTCTTACTCTTGAGACTTAAACACTGAAGGTTTACTTCATTTTTTTAAAAATACACTTATTAAAGTAAGATTTGACTTTCCCAGAAAAAGAGCTTTATCATTTAAAGTAGCATGTTGACTGCTTAGATTTTTCTTCCAATACATCTAGGCCTCCTCTTTCAACTAAGAGGATAAGTTTTCAATAATATGAAATTGACAGAAAATTGTGTTGGAATGGTAGTAGTATTTAATTCTGGGAACTGAACCAGTGAGACTTCACAGATACATAGATCTTTGTACAGAACTGGAAAAATATCAAAAGTTTGTCCATGGGCTCCATGCTTTTCTATTTTTACAGTTCTTATCACCTTCGCCTCAAAATTAAATTAAAACTTCACAGAAATGAAAGCAGTAAGTTTCAATTCTTATCCAGAAAGAATTTTTTTTTTAATTAAAAAAAGTTACTTTCCTAGTTGTAGATACTTAAATAAACAAAAACTCTTAACTGTGAAATAACTTTAGGGGCTTCCCTACAAAAAATCCCCTCTGTAGCGGCTGGCTCAGACTTGACAAACTCGCTGAATTGTGCAGATGTTGAAGTGGCTCTGGGTTACACTGGGGAAGAAAGAAGCACCAGACATTCCACAGCTGCCTCCAAGAGCTCCCTTCCCAGGGGCACAGTTGCAGACTCTATCAAGCTCAATCACTTTGTACAGCAACTGGGGATCCCAGCCAGGGGCAAAGAAATCCCAGAGCAGCTTAAATTTCCCCCAGTACCACAGCAAGAAGTAACACTACTTAGAGTAACCAGTTATTTCCAACAATTATGTGACCTTAGGCCAAAAAAGAATGAGAAACAACAGCTGTTGTTAGAGAAGATGTTTCATAGTTTTATATTTCAAGCTACTTACAGGAGATCTTCCTAGGGTCTTTATTATGGAAAAAAAACTATGAATAGTTGATCTTTATTCTTGATGGATTTTTTTTTTCTTCAGGTAGTAGGGAGACAATAGTCAAGTTGAAGAATCATAGAATTGTACAGTTAATTCAATAATTATAATACAGTGACCATAGGGCTTTAAAGGGATGGAATGCATATGGCATTAATATCATTTCAAAGGTACTACACTCTTCCGTTTTACCTATCTCATGAGTTCTCTCAAATATTTTGAAGACTAAAATAACTATTAATGAAATGGTCTGACTAAAAATAAACAGCCAAAGAATATTCTTTGCTACATAAGGTAACTGATGCCATGGCAGATGTCATTTCCTTAGCATGACCAGAAAGGGAGAGCTATAATGAAAAGCTCCACCAAATATAGAAATATTCAAGCACTGTGCTAAATTACACTTACGCCTCCCAATGATATTATCCCCATTTTATAGATGAAGAAATTAACTTATAAGATCATTGAACCAATAAATGATACAGCCCAGAATTTAATTTTTTTTACTCTAAAGTCCATGATCTTGTTATTAGGATTTTACTGACTTTGTTGCAATGCCACTTGTACATTAATTCAGAACATCTTCAGTAATTTTCAAATCAATTTAAAAGGTGTATATCATGTCATTCAATTGTTCTAGTCAAGAGAAAAATAGCTTCTCTACATGAGATATTAGTTAAATCTCACCTTTTGCTTATGATTCCTTTTTCTTCTCTATTACTGACTTTTTAATGGTCAGAAAAAGGCATTTCAACTTAGAGGGTTAATGCTAATAAATTCCCCAAATGTTGTTATATCCTAATAATCCTAAATTTCAGATGCCTATCTTTTCTGTTTTAGGTTGATTCTCAAAATTGTAAGTGGATTAGCCAGTAGGTCATTCTGTGTCACACAACAGATACTGAGGCATCTGAACACTACACCAGGCCTGAGAATTTACAGTAAGAAACCTTTCATTTCATATTGATGCTAAAAATATCAGTAAAGAAGACTTCAAGCCTCAAAAGGCCTGTGTTTATAGCTCATCAGCATTCCTCCAAAACAATGGGACACACTACAGCAAGGAGGAAGAGGAGACAGAAGTTGATGACATATGGGGTGTGCATGGAACTTCTGGTTAATGGAAGTTCCAAGATGTATAAATAAAAAATGATGTGTGAGTTGGTGGAAAAAACTGTAAGGCAAGTCAATTTTTTAATTAAAAAATTATGTAGCATAAACAATGCTAATGAGCCAAAAGTCCTAAGAGATTAGGACTATATCTGCTTCATTTTAATGTTCCATTCACTTTTTGTAAGCGAACATCCACTCGCTTGAAATACCTCAAGCAGAACCCTTTATGTAAAATAGGGTTTTGAAGATTTTCTTTGTCCTTGTTCCTAATAGCTCACCATTTTCTACTCAAGTGTCAACTTGATGACAAATTACACACACACACACACACACACACACGCACGCATGTGCAAAAAGAGCCCAAATATCTTAAATGAATCACCAGATAATACCTGGAAGTTCCTCATAAATTTCATCGTCTACTGGCTGCCCACTTGTTGGTGGGTTGCTGATTGGTAGAGGATGCTCAACGTCATCATATAATTCTCCTTTTTCATCATAGTCCTCAGGAATAATATCAGATTCCATATCTAAAAAATGTTTCACGAAGCAAATTTTAAAGGGATGCAAAAGAGGCTTTATAAATTAAATTTCCTAAATAAACACAATCCTAAAAAGTGACAGTAATATTTTATGCATACTCTTCTTCATTTAAAACATTTTTCAAGTTGATCATTTTGTACATATGTGATTTTAAAGTTGCCAACTGGCACTTATGGAAAAGATGCTTTTATATATCTAAAGCAAATAGTCTATATATTAAACCAGTCATGTTCCCTTTATCATTCTCATTGAAGTCAATAAGCTTTTGTATATGAAAACCAAAACTACTCAGTTTTTTAGTATTTTAAGACCAGGATTACATGTTCAATTGATGCTCTTACCTTGTAATACAAATTTCAGCTGCTGCACCCATTCCTCAGCATCTTTGGGAGAAGCTGCTGTAAACTAATAAAAGAACCAACAATAAGAACACAAATCACCACCGTAGAAATGAAAAGTATGTCGCATTCTTATCATTTCTTTAAGACCATTAGTGATTCTTTTCATGTCTAGTGGTACTTTTCTTGCAAGGATGCTTCTTATAATGCACAGTTAATTTTGACAAATTTACGCAAATGAAGCAGAGGATGATGGATTTGAAACTCTGATCAGCAGCTGGCAGCTGTGCAGGAAAAAAAGCTGCTTCTCTTCATCAATGTCAAAGACTGAACTGATGAACAGAATTTGCCCTTGACAATTAGAAGACACCCATGAATTTCTTTAGACTGCTGGGTATAGTTTTCTTAAAAATGCTCTTGTCAGATTCCCAACACACTATCTGACAATTAACTGGCTTTCAACTGCAATCTCAGATATTTAAAACTTATTAAACATACATTCCATATTGATGCCTAGCTGATAGCTCTTGAATTGCAGACCTGATACGTGTCTTTATCTTCATTTTCTCCCACACCCCTAAGCAATACAATATGCATTACCATTCTAATATTTTTCCTTTGATAATTTCACTCTTTCTGCTATGTAATTCTTTTAGGAAATCATACAGCTCTATTAAAATAGATATAAAATGCTACATGTAAAGCAATTGATAAATTATATATTCACTTCCTCCTTTTCAAGAAGATATCACTTGAAGTAATCTGAATTTTTTTAAATGTATTTTCTCTTATATGAATGTCCAATGTACAAAAACCAGTATTTTTTTTATTATTACTAACATGTCAGTGAGCGCTGTTTTAACAAACTGTTAATGTCTCTATAAATGAAACTAGAACATCTTATCAACTTAATTTCAAGGCAACACAAAAACTCCAACCTGATACATCCGTTTATCAGGAGCAGAGATTTCAAAGCAACAATCTTTCTTTGCATCCTTCCTAAGAGTGTTATTCATTCTGACCTCATAGCCATCTATTGCAAATTCACATTTCTGTTGTTTGTCTGTTGAAGATAAAATCACAGTTAGAATTTCACTTACTACAGCAAATATAAATGTTCAGTCAATTTTCTTTTATATAGATTTTCTTTGTCAACTCTTAGAAAAGAGTAATTTTGGTCATATTGTTTTAGTAATGTAATGCTTAAATAACATTTCTACATATCATTTTTAATTCTAAAATACAGATATACTGGAGACAATTGCATCTAAAAAGGATATCTATGGGAACCAGAGATTGTGGTCTTGTTCATGAAGTGTGGATATAAGACCCTTGTATATAGGGAATATATAAGAACTAGAACTTAGAACTTGCTAGACAAACCCACTACCAACTCTGGCTCTTTCAGATTTAGAAAGTCAATGGAAAACTTGTCTAGTTGAAACTTTCTGGGTTTCATTAACCATTACCTCCTGTTACCAACCCCTTCCCACCATCATCATCAAAACAAAATATATTTTCTTAAAAAACAAAACTTGGTACAAATGTAGCTCTAAATATTAAATGCAAAGCAAAGCAAAACTAATTACAAAAAAGCTATAATGTGAAAACAAAATACTTGGCTGGAGAAGGGTGGAAAAGTTTATAACTCATAACAAAAATTGAGATTTATTAACCAGTCAATGCTAAACTAGTAGAAGCACAATTGAATCTAATGATAAATATTGAAAGAAAAGATGGTTGGAACTTTGGTCAGATATTATTTTAAAGACAAAATAGAAATGCAACAAAGAGTTTAGTACTCTAAAAATGAGAATAAAATTAGCTTTCCTACCTTACTTGGTTATGTCATTTTGATAGAAAAGCTGTATAGTTCTAGGTTATTTCTCAGATAAACACATGGTACTCAAAATATGAGTAGGGGACAAACTGTCTATTGTACTAGGCTCTGAGAAAATAGAGAATGATCTCATAACATGGGTAAAGGGGTCTCTCAGTTCAGTGCATCAAGGATGGAAATATATAGTGTGTGTGTGTGTGTGTGTGTATCTCCTTTCCTTAAATAAACTAATTTAATTCCTGAAGTAACATGTATTTTAAAAGATCATAAAGAGCCTATCATATTCAAACTATTGAATAAAAAGAAATATGATTTAGAAATTCTTGACTTAAATCTGGACAATCTAATTATATTTAGTCATAATTTATATATCTGAAAGACTAAAAAAATTCAATTCAAAAATTTGAAGTTTGTCTACAATTAACTCTTAGAAGTTCACAAACTATACTTTTAAATTATAGCATTTCTTGAAGTGCATATTGATATGTTTCTATGATCAGGAAAGTTTGGGGAGATTTTTGCTGAATTAAACAAAGTTAAAAAGTTTTGTGGGGGGTGAGTTCAGATTAGATCAACATGTCCTATTTGGGATCTTTAGTAGATTTACATACTGACTGAATTTCTAAGAAAAATGTTTAGTATGCATCATTTCCAAAAATCATTCATCTATGGAACCCTTTTTAACAGAATATTTTATGGATCCAGTATGCCCAAAGTCTACTCTGCAAAATATTTAACCAGAGAACATTGAGGGGAAAATATTAAAATCATAAATTGTTAAGAATGGTTGGTTCTAAAATTCTCTTTTAAAAAACTAACTAAAGCATTCATTCTCTCATTCAACAAATTTATAGTAAGCACTTTAAACAAGCCAGGTAGCATTATAACACTTTATCAGACATTTCTTACCTTCCCACTGAAATAGACACACACACACACACACACACACACACACACTCAATCAATCTCTCTCTCTCTCTCTCTCTCTCTCTCTCTCTCTCAACAAACAGTCAATGATCCACTAGACTGCAAAAGAAATTTAATTTCCATTACAAAAATGAAAATAATCTGAGGTAATATATCAAAACCATCCAGGACAATTTTGAAAGATTCCTTTATGCCCACCCCACCCCACCCCACTCCACCAAGAAAACATGTTTTCAAGGAGCAGATATGGAGCAAGTCACTCTCCCCTCTGCCACACAAAGGTTCCATCTCTTCAGTTGCTAGGTCCATCTGATCTAAAGCCTGTGCTTTTTTCCTCTACTTTAGGTCTAAAATTCTTATCAGTGTAACACATGAAAGTGGAAATGCATAAGGAGTGGTAGTCTACATTTGGATACGTAAAGCTGAGTTTAGAAAAGCCACGGGGAACAGGAGACCTTCCTGCACTAGATTTTTAGGAAGCAATAAGATCAGGTGACCCTGATTTATACTAGCAGATACACCTTATACAAAATTCCCAGGAACACATTATAGAGCCATGCAGCAGATCTTCCATTAAAGTCTAAGAGGAGAACCAGAGAGAAACCATGAATGCTATTTATTATAAACATTACAGATTATACAGACAGGCCATTGTCCCAGGATAGGTAAAAGAAGAAAAGCAAACTAGCAGACAGGTGTCAGAAAGATATAATACAAAAAAATGTAAGATTTTGAGATGTAGAAATTATAAATAAAGTAGGAGAATCAAAGTAAACTTTAGCCATTGTTTAACATGTTTGTTTCTTTTGGGGGTTTTTTGTTTGTTTTTTATTTTACAGTACAAGGCATTTTGACATACTGACACAAATGGAGCACAATTCTCATTCCTCTGGCTGTACATGGTGCAGAGTCACTCCAGTAGTGTAATCACACATGTATATAGGGTAATAATGTCTGTCTCATTCTACTGTCCTTCCCATCCCAATAGCCCTAACCCTCCCCTCACTTGCTTTACATCTTTTATAAAAGAAAAAATTCACATACAAGTTACAAAAGAGATAAAAGATGAAGTGACATAACATAAATAAAAAGGGCTGAGACAGGTAGAGATTGAAGTGAAGTCGGCAAAGCAAGGGAAAAACTATATAAAGGAACTGGAAAATGCAGTAGATAAATAAATGATGTATTAGAAGTGGAGTGATAAAAAGTAAAATTGACATTGCTGAAAACCAGATCATGTATACCTTGAAAAGCTCACTTAGCCTATAGGAAAACAAGTAAAAGAGGATAGGGAGAAAAGGTAATACGATAGACATGGAGGACTGACAAAAATACAACATAAGGAAAAAGAGTGTTCTGGAAGATGAGTAACAAAACAGTGCCAATAATCAGACGTAACAGAAGAAAACTTCATTCTGCCAAAGACAGACCCAAGTCTGCAGAACAAAAGATGATGTTGTTTAACCAAGTGAAAGTAATAAAAAAGAAACTAATACTTAAACCTACTTGCTTGATTGGGGATAAAGAATCACATGAACAGCCAAGTGGGGTAGGGTGTGGGACCAGAAATGTTAAACAGAAGGAAATTCCTAACTCTTCCTCAATAGATTTGTAAAAGCATATTCATAAAGTAGCTTAGAGAGTCAAGGGTCCTATGTTTTTTCTCATATGTGTAAGGTAGAGAGGAAAAAGGAAAAGAAAAATGGGGGAGGGAATCTCATTAAAATAGAAGGGAGATCAGTAGAGTAGAAGAAAGGGACCAGGAATAGGCAGGAAGGGAGTGAAAGGGGAAGTACTGGGGAATGAGATTGGCCAAATTATACTGTTATAGCATATGCATGTATGAATACAAAGCAAAAAATCCTACCATTATGTATAATTATATTGCACCAATAAAACTATGAAAAAAGCATACAGTATGCAAATGTGAAAAAATAAAAATTAAAAAAAATAAAGTAGCCATATTTCCCATTAGTCAACATGGTACAAGAAGTCCAAGGCATAAAATGGGAGACATGGCTATAATAAGACCTGCTCTTCTCCCTCACATCAGCTTCACTTCTGGGCAGAGAAAATTTCAACATTATATGATTATCCACAAAAATTTATATATACAGGTTAGTTCCAAGGGATTTTCTGAGATGGTTTCAAGAACATCTGTTGATTTGACACAGATTGTTAAAACCAGTTAAATTCCAACTGAATAGGAAACAAGGTTCCTATCTAGGTTCATTTACCTATAACTGTGAAAGACTAATAAAATAATTTATCTTAGTGAACTTCACACACAGCAGAAGCTTATTCCCTTAAGTGCCAAAACTTTTAAAAGTTTTAGTCATTGTGATGGAAATCTCTCTAAAATATATACTTCCTTAACTTCTCAAAATATGTGTTTTAAATGTAATTCAATGTTTCCTTGACAATCTAGCAGTTTCATTTTGAGTATTAGTTTTTATAGTATGCTATAACACACTGATGTCTGCCAGATGTTTGAGCTGTTGGCCCCCCTATTAAATTTTCCTTGGCTTCTACTTCACATTTCAACTTTGCCTCTATCCTATTGCTCAAGCTCAATGTCTACAGAGCTGGAGGCTGCCAGGAGAAACTAGGATGAAATCCATTACGTCAGTAACTTAATTTTACACAATTCTAATTCAGTATGTTCCAAGGTAAAACCAGTTGGCTCCAATCTCCTCCAAAACATAATACACGAGGCTAATGACAAAAGATTTCCTTCTACTTGTCCACTGTCTTTTAGGTTTACAGCTGCATTATGGATTTTTTAAGCTTCCAAAATGACAACGCACATTTACCAAGCTCCTTTCATATGTCAGGATCTTAATATAATACATCTCATATGTGCCTTGTGACAGAAGGTATATATTATATCCCAAACACTGATGGGAAAACAAACCTTAACTTAACCAACTTATAGTCAAACAAATGGTTAAGTGGTAAGAACTAGGACTCTAAGCAACTGTGATACTAACCATTTCACATGGTTTCCTAGAGAGGTGTTTCCCAAAGTATATTTCAAGAAATCACTTATCTTGAATGCCTGCTAAAAATGCAGAAAGGGCTACCACTCTGCACTTGCTATACAGGAATCTCTAAGGGTGGGTACAAGAAACCAAATTTTAGCAAGCATTCAAAGTGATTTTGATACTAAGATGTGAAAAACCACTGTCCTAGACAGAATACATGATTTATGAAGTCACATAAAGAAAATAAGTATTATCTTACATTTCTTCCTATAACTTGGGTCAAACTTTCTCAGCTTCCTTTATGGGCTCCTC